CACACTCATGCTAAGATTTCTACCACGTTTCATCGTAGAATGACTAGGCCTTTTAGGTATTTTGCTTTCCCTTTTTTTTTCTCATTTTCTTCGCACGGTTGCGAATTGGTATCGAAGAGAGCGGCATCTCGCGACCGACGGAGTCACCGCTTGAAAAAATTGTTCTTTGGACTTTGTCGACTTTCAGGACACAAAGGATGAGGGATGCAGGATGAAGAAATACTTTGGTACGCTAGGCCAGGCCTGTACAAGGGCGTTTTTACGTTTGAGTTAGTTATAAACATGCGGCAACTCAACGTTATTACCAAAGGAATAAAAAAAAAATATATATATAATATGTATATATATTAATATGATAATAAATAAACGTTATCTTTTATTTCTAATATATATATATGTATCTATATATATATATTATATATAATTATACAAGACATGATCCGGGAAACGATCGAAGGACGAAGGAGTCGCGAGGATATACAATTTGGAGTGTGTACAAAAATGGTTAACGCGCTCCATGCCGCGTGGATCACCGGTGATCCATCCTCCCGTTTAATATTGAAGTTTATTAATGACTAGGGAGACGAAACTAAAACTGGAAACACTTCGGTATAATCGATAGTCTCTTGTAATTAAATATTAAATAATCGTAGTATTTAGATACTAATACTATATTATAAATTTACATACACACATGTTTAACCTGTTGTGCACAGGATTTGTTCTTATAGTAACTTAGCCACTTCTGAAGTTAGGACTTACTAATAGCATTTTAAAAAAGCTTTTATATAATTGACTATTCCTTATCTTTTTATATAACAATAAATAATAAATTAAGTTTCACTGGGTTAAGTGTTTCCAGTTTACTTCGCTCCCAAAATACTAAATATACACAAATAATTTACACGAATAAACGTCAACAAAATGAAATAAAAAGAAATTAATGACACGAGTCTAAGGTATAATTTAATTCTTCGTAAAATTAATCGTAGAAGGAAAAAACTGAAGCAAACAAAAACAAAACAAGATCGACCATACATATCTACGTACATCGAAACCAAAGAGTCTGGATATTTGCAATGTATGTAGAATATAATATGATAAACATCGGCCAAAAAATAAACATTGTAATACACGCAAAAATATAAATTAAGTACTTCATAATACGGCTCCTTTGAGCCCATTGTTTCCTTAGTTCATGATCATAAGTTTCGCTTCAAGCACATAACATTGTTTCATATGCATAAATAATAATTTAACAAGGTAAGCATACGCGTTGTCAAAAAGAAAAAAATAAATTAATCATATAAATAAATCAAACCGATATTTTACGTCGTTATTAATTGTTAGTCGTGTTACTTTATTATTATAATACTTACGACTTAAGAAAAAAAAGATCGCTAATAATCTTTGGATTGGACGATACTAGGGCGACAAAAGGGAATCAATAATCATTACAATTACGAAGGACAAATACAAGGTTAATTCCTCGAGCGCCTTGGTTTTATAACATTTAGTCATAAATTAAAAGGAAAGAAAAATCGAAGAGAAAGATAGAGAAGGGGCGAGACATATTTAACGTTAATCGACAGGCAGGCATGATTGAGTAAAATATACTGAACAAAGGAGAGAGAAAGACAGTGTTAAACTAAGAGAGTTAAGAAAAGGCCGGCTAGCGTGTCTAGAGGCGATTGGTACGGGAATAATACCAGGATAGGGCGGGTTGAGTTTGCATCTGTGATTGAGTATGGACATGGTTCTCTACCTTTACGGGGCTAGTTCCTGCTGTTAAGAAACTATCCTCCAATGCCATGGATGCTGGTGAAAATAATACCGATGTGTCCAAACTTTTACTCTGTAATGTAAAGAAAATAAATTAGTGAACTAAATAACAATTTTATATACTAATGTTTAGACTGCGGATTTTTATGCATTAATGGAAAATTTAAAAGTGCAAAAATACATAAGATGTATATAATCTGTAAAAGTACATAAAATATTCGAAATAGGATATTCGTTTTAATATGTGACAGATAAAACAATTCTTTACTTAAATCCCGTTTTTTAAAGTATATTTATAAAAATATGAATTTTGCATAAATATTCGCTAATGTTACACTCTAAATATCGACATACAACTTACCGGCGTTTCTACAACGAAACTTATTTCGGAATTATCCTGGGAAGCGTTCGCCCAGGCTTGACAGAGTGCTTTACGCGCTCTCTTTCCACCAGGAGCGCTATTTTCTTTACCCCGCCGTCTAATCGTGCTGTAACCAGAGTCTTGAAGGATCGTGCTAGTCCCTGCTAGACATTCACGATCGGTTTCTTGTTTGATGATCTCCGTTAGAGCATCCAGACGACTTGGGGTGGCAGGTAACTGAGTAGTCGCGCCGCTGCGCCGTTCTAATTCTGCTAACGCGTTTTTGAACGGTGTTGGCGTTCTCGGTGTGTTCCCATCTATGACAAAAATATAATAATAGTAACAATATACAGTCTATCAAGTTCCAGATAAAATTAGAAAGCTAGGAACGAAGGATTTTATCAAAAACCTTACCATTCTGACTTCGTCGCAGACCAGTGGGTTGTGGTGTGGTGAGTGGACCAGGGCTGCTACCTTTAGGAGTACTTGCCCGTGGCCAGGGGGAGGTTTCAGGACTCAGGCTGTTCAAGAACTGTGACGGACTGAATGGCAATTGTTTGATGGGCGTGGATGGAGTGGTAACACCAGATTGTTGCTGTTGTTGGTTTATTAACAAGTAATCAGACTGATTCATATTCTCAGGTATTTCTGTCCTTTGCTGAAGGACCTGAGTATTTCTACGTCGACGGAGAATAGGGGGTGGACTGCTCCTTTCTTTCTCCGCTATGGCTTCTGGCATTTCCTCCAGGTCTGGCATGGGCATTAGTCTAATTTCTGAATTCTTTGAACTTGTCGCTTCACCTTGTATTTGCATATCAAAATACCTATATAAATAGACGTGTTAGTAAATGGGTAACTTCATTAAATACTTGAAAATTCTTATTTTTTAAACTTGTTTAATAACATACTTTGTAAAAGGTGAAATTTGTTCAGTCTTGACTCGAGAAGAACTTCCTCTTTTTGAAGGAGTATCTACTCGAGTTTCGTTATTGTGCGGCCGTTCATTCAGATTCAGAAGACCTTGGAAAGTTTGGTTATTTTGTTGATTATCCCAAGCCCTACTCCAGTCCAGCTGGTCGATACCCAGAGTATGCTGCTGCATAGTGGACACAGTTGTGCAGTTTTCGTTGTTCGCCGAATCTACCTTCAGACGACCTGAGATGTCCTCCTCTGCTTCTTTAGAGAGTACCGACGATTCTGTAGCTTTTCTTCTACCTCTTCCTGTAAGAGGAATTCACTTTTATCAAATGTTCCATTTTTTGATGATCTAACTTTTTACAAAAATATATCAATTTCAGTTAGCTAAATTAATATTCTTCTTTATCACTATTAGTTTATATTTCAATTAAAATTTAAAAATTGAAGATAAAGATTGAAAATAGGAATTAATACAGATTATTTTTCAAATTATATTCACGTGGATTTTATTTATTACATTCGTAGAAAATGTAAAGATGCAAAAATGCATATAATGCACATAATATGTAAAATCACATGAATTATTCAAATATCCAAAATATAGCCCTATTTTAGTTATAAAATATGAAAATAAAATAAAAGTTTCATAAAACTATAAATTTGCATAAATATTGGCATTCTAATAATAACATAATCAATGGATTGATAAGAACCTCTTGTGCTGGTGGCTCTACCACCATCTTCAGTTTCATATTTTCTCCTCATAGTGCTATTCCAATGATTTTTTATAGCATTATCCGTCCTGCCCGGCAGTAGTTTTGCTATTTTCGCCCATTGGTTTCCCACCCTGCGGTGAGCTTCCACAATAATCCTGTCCTCCGCCTCTGTCCACGCAGTTTTCTTGATGCCCGGATTCAAATGGTTGTGCCATCTTTCCCGACACTGCTTACCGATACGGCCCTTTAGATGTCGGGCAATTAATGTCCACTTCTTCGGTCCGTATCGTTCCACTAATTCTACTACTTTTTCGTCCTCCTGCGAATGTCACCGATCATCAGTACACGGAATGATTCGGGTACTTATGGTTGATGGATGAAACTACTGATAGGACATTAAAATTGATTCTCATGTATTTTATATACTGACTTTTCCATTTTCAATATATGACTACTTTAATATTTGTTTTTATAATTGGTATTGCCGTTTGAAAACTAGATGTCGCGACTGATATAGGATTCAGAATCTTGATTGTAAGCTTGGCGAAGTTTTGATGTAAACTGACAATAATCATTTTTAGTACAAAGATAAATTAGGAGAGAATTTTTGGGAGAAATTAGTTAAAAACCAGAGTGCAAACATTTTAGTATTAAACCAGAACTTTACTTGTCGACTGAAAAATCTCGATTAAAGAATGTCGACTTTTCACCAGATGCGACATCCTGCTCCCTGAAAAGCAACCAAAGCGCCGTGAAAGTTCTGATCGGACGAGTTCTCACCGGAAGGCAGGTCCAACACGCGAGTAATTTCTCGAAGGCGAGGAGAAGAGTCGAAGGAAGGTAAGAGAACAAGGCGGTAGGTCGAGAGAAGGCGGCGGAAAGGAAAGGAGAAGAGGACACACGCGGAGATGATCCTCGAGTGCACCGAGGGAAAGAAGCAACGAAAACAGTGAAGAAAGGACAGAGGGGAAAGAGGATGCAACGAGGACGCTCCTACACCATGAAGAATCAGGTGCACACCAATATAGGGCCTCTTCATGACGGAGTGTACGCGACTTTCAGAGGCTTTACTTGCCCTTGGCTGTTGCCAAGTGCATTGGCACGACGACGACGCAGCATCTCCGCGGACCTCTCGTGGCTCTTTTTCTTGTTGCATACCCCACCGTGGCGACCGTCGGCGGACAGAGGGAGAGAAAGAGAGCGCTGCCTCCGCTACGTGTAGGCGTACGTGTTGTGCAGGGCCGTGCCGTTATGAATTCAAACCTTCAAGCTTTAGATGCACCCAAGAAGAACCATCTTGATCGTTACTGGTGCGGAAGTGATGACCTTGGAGCGTTTTAAGTCGAAATTGGTATTTAGGTTAGGTTTTCGTTGGACAAAATTAAATTGCATAGGTTTAGGACATTGTTATTATTGATGGCAATAATAGGTCAATAGGTCTCATAGCACAGGCTCATGGTGACATCTGGTGGTCAATAGAGGAAACGCTTGATGTGTATTTACTCGGTATTTATAGACTACCTGATACAGATACATTTCTTAAAGCAGATATGAAAAACTTAAGACAGTTTCCTTGTTCCAGAGGGAAAGTTGCAAGGAACCGTTACGCGATCGTCAATTCAAACGTCTCCTCTGCCAAATACGTGGACAGACCTGCCCATGATGGGTGAAGGGGTGTAACGGATCTTCCCGAACTTTCGCGAAATCTGGACTGGTTGGCCATCCGGTGAAAAGCAGGTTGATATAACTTAACCTTTTATTACAATGTGACTATATCGAACAAAGGTATACATATACATAACCCAAATACTAGTTACTAACGATAACATAATATTTTCTTAATTTCTATTTAGAATTTGCAATACTGAACTAGAGTCCTAAATTAGAGTAATCTTAACTTCTAAATTAGGATCTACATATATAGAATAGTAAAAGAATTAAAGATTTCTCACTTTATACAAAGGAATACAAAATAAAAAATGTGTAAATTCGTCTTTACTTATAAATACTAAATAAGAATTTAATTTCATTAATTTACCTCTTTTGTCCATGGTCCCTTGACCAATTCCGGATTCACAACCTTCGCCCATCTTTGCTGACACTGAACGTCACTTCTGTCTGGAAAGTGGCCAGCTATGACATCCCATCGAAGTCCGGTCCCAAGTTGCTCAGCGTTGCTTACTAGCTGCTTCAACAGACCGTCCTGAAACCCATTTAAATGGAACATATATTACACATAGGTAGGAGCAATGTAACGCTGTAAGGTGGTAACTTAAAACTTCACATGCAATGCAAGATATTTTAATAAACATTACCCTGTCTTAAAACAGGTGCGTATGAAGAAGACCATTGACTTGCTGTGCTAAATTCATGTTAATAATTTTACTCGTGCAATGTATACTTCCGATTGAAACATTCGAGAAAGGCATCATTTTTAGTTATGTTAATTTTTGCAGGATATCTTTTAATTTAATATCTGCAGTATAATTTTATTTTTTTTTAATTGAAAGTTCCAATTTTTTTGCAAATTAATCAGATACATTCTTGTGAAAAATATTATGCTAAAAGTAAAAAAAAATGATGTACATATGAAGATGAAGCTTAATTGCAACATTAACCTTTTATGATATGGATGGAATTATAATTAGAAACGAATATGGAGAAGTATAAAAGTTGCAGCCTTTTTTGCAGGTTTGTTTGGCACGTTTTTATGGATGAAATTAAACTAGAAATACGAGGAAAAGAACGAAACTCATATCGAGATGAAGCTTAATACTTTAGTACTATAACATTTACTATATGGATGTGGTTGTAATTAAAAAGTAATGTAGAAATAACTCTATCGTACGAAATTATAAAATGATGCAGATATTTCAAATTTCAAATACCGAGGATTACACGATACCATAGAGATACTGTAGATTCAAGAAGAGAATGGAAGAAGAAATAGGGAATAAAATATTCCAAATTTTAAGATGGATGTATGAGAATTTTCACTTGGCAATTGCATCAGATTAAAGAAGAGAATAAGAAGAGAGAGAATGAAAAAAGTCATGTAACAAATGGGATCGATAGGCCTATGTGATGTTTCCCACGGGAAACCATACGGCGCTGCCCGTTCTTTATAGCCGCGCATATGACTATGGGGTGGTCGAGGGCATCTGCCCGCGAACGTAACTCGTTGTAGAAGGTACGAAGGGTGGACCTTTTTTCGAAGCCTATGCTCATTGTATCCTCCCCTTTCGCGTTACATCCGATCAAAGTCACGGTATAATGACGCGATCACGTGTGCATTCTCTCAGCTATCAAGGTGCGTCACAGAGAAACAGGGGAAAGGAAAATACCGTGGAACATTTTTCTTATCACGGTGACCAATGAACTTTGGTCCAGTTCAATTTCTCTAAATAGTTTCACGAAAATTCTTTTAGGGGGAATCTTGCAACACATTTCAAAAGAGATTACAAATTTTTATTATTTTTTAATCTTCTCTGGACTGAACAAATTCGCAACGTTTAAATTAGCAGTCATATTTATAATTTTAGAAGTAAACAAAATCACTAATTCTTTCTATTTTTTTTTTTTTTTTTTTTTTGACAGTGTTTACAACAATGAAAAAGTTTGCAACATTTGAGTTAGAGATGCGTGTATTGTGTATACATAATTATAAAAGTAAATAAAAAATTCAAATTTAAATGTTTCAGAATATGTAACATGGAATTTCCGATTACCTCCTCTTTGGTCCATCTTCCTTTGTTTATGTGTTTTCCTTGACCATTACTGCTCGCATTTGTTGTGTTTGGGTTCTGCGACTGATTGCTGGCTCCACGACAAGCAATGATATTGTACTCGTTGTCAGACTCTCCCCCGCTACTAGAATCGTAACCAGAGCGCGATCTAGAGAAACAGAAAGAACATTGTTTTTCAGTAACTTGAAAATCATAAACGTGAAATTCGTGATTAAAGGTATATCACAATTGAAGTTTGATTTACAATAACGTTTACACCTCAAGAAAAATATTTCTCCAAATATGTATTTATTAAACTTAAAATTAAAATTTACAAATGTATTGATTTTAATCTGAAATGGCCACAAATGCCTTCCTAATAATTGTCATTTCATTTATTTCATTTCTTAGAGAAATAAAAGTGAAGAAAGTGTAACAGTATGTTAAAGCCAAAATCTATTTTTGATTAATATTTTATAACAATATTGAAACTAGAAAGTGATACATAAGAAATCTTTCTTCGACAAAAATTCTCACACTGACGTTACGAAATCTTTTTTTTTTTACAATACAATCCAATTTGAAGATGAGTGTGGTTCAAGAGGGATGTAGAAATTCGCGAAAAAATCGAACGTGCGAACGTGTAACGGATATAGCTATTTTTTTTTTGTCCGTACAAAGGCGAAGACGGGAAATCATGGATGGCTGACCATCCATCCTGCGCGCGCTTCTTCCTCTTCTTTGTCGAAGGAACTATCGCGCACTCACCACCCCTTTGTTCTTCACCCTTTCCTAAAACCGCCAACCAAGAGGCAATCTTGACCACAGTCTGGCCAGTGTCAGTTTTTGCGGTTACAAATGGTTTGTTCCTTCATCATCTTCAAGGATTTCCTGTCTACTTCTTCCGCAAATGATCGTTATTCATTCCCGCCCCCCCTCTCACACTATTCCTTAATTTTTTCTCTTTACGAAAGGCTCTTGGTAAAATTTAAAAAGAAAGATAGAATCACCCACTTTTTTGCTCAATTTGTCGTTCTTCTTATTCATTTCTTCTTATTCAGTTTGTATTTATTATTTACATAAATGTTTCTCTTTTATATATTTTTCATGATAGGAAGCTAAAAGAGCGTCCCACTCTACCCGGAAGTAACTTACACATACAGTAGATATATATAACCTCATTACAGATGAAAGAGTTCACTGTATCTGTCAAGGTCATCTGCTATAATTTCATCAATCAAAACTCTGTTAACCTCAATTTTTTACAGGATGTTCCTTATTTTGAATTTAATGGTATTCGTTCCAGCCAATCAGAAGTACTTTAAGAAAACACTTTTGATTATTAATTTTTATTACTTGAAACTCTTAAAAAACGATTACTGAGAGAAAGATTCTATCTCAAAGATTTTGTCTAATATGTAATTACTCATCTAAGAATCTCTGTTGTATTTGTTTAATTCCTTGCTCATTTTTCTAAGAAAATAATAGTGCCATATAAGTGTAGTAAAATGACTTCAAAAGGAGCCTCTTTGACTAATGTGTAGAAAGTTTCACATTCGTGGAAAGGCAACAGAGCTGATATTACACAATAATCCATCGTCAAGTGCAATTAGCCAACAGTTGGCTGCACGTTATACCAACGTATTTACATTCCAGCCACTGTGGAGTCTATGTTTGCCGGATGACGTAATTTGACGACGATAACTGGTCAGCTCGAGATGAAACACACACGTATGTATATAACGTTATGTACTCCTCCACATAGAGAAATCAAACGCAACGGTCCGAATGCTTGTTATGTTTACTGTTTCAGGCAGGCCACGACCGGCATTTCCGCTGCACGCAGCTATATCGTGCGAGCCTTCACCAAACGGCGCTCGTTTAACCCCTTTGTTCCGTCAGAGTACGCTGCAAAGACACCGCAGCGGCGCCCGAGCGAAACCGAGCACAAAAGTTCACTATACCGAACCGTTCGTCATTGTTCTGACACAATTATTTCGAATCAACGTGCAGAAAATGATGTAATATGATCTCCAATATTTTAAACAGACCTATTACACTTGACATTGCTGGATACATAATAATACAAAATTTGGAATCGTTATATATCTTATGGGAATCAAGAATTTAAAACAAGTTTTAATTGGAATTCTATTAGTTTAGAAGATATCTTTATCAAAGATTTATTAAAATAAAGAAAGTGTAACTAAAGTTATATAATGATAAATATAATAAATATTAATAACTATAACTATTCCTAATTTTCATTTTCACGTCAATTATACGTGACGAATTCATACTGCGTTCCCATGTATCAAAAGATGTGCCATCATCCTTATTAGTACTAAAATATCATAACCTTTATACTACCGAAACAAATCAAAAAGCCATTAATCCAACCGATAAGCTGACAGCTGAAGTTTTTTTTTTTATAATCCTAGCGTTAAATTTGCAAATTAGACCCGTCTTTCGAAATTTAATTATAATATAACAAACTCACTAATTGATGGAAGCGCAACGGCAAGAAATAATTGCTGCCTATTACTGCGATATGGTAAAAGTAGGATTCCAGCGCCGGAAATTACCAGTTACCCTTGAATCCTTAATTAACAAATTTTGATGGACTCATCGTGATTGATTATAATCTTTACTAATAATGGATGCAACCATTTTTTTATTATTATTTATTACTATTTAATAATTGATATATATTTTACTATTATTTGGTAATCTTTATTTCGATCAACTAAGAAGCAATATAGAGCCGAGGGGTATCTCTGTAGGCTCAGGGCGGAAAATAATGACAACGATAAGGTTCACCAACCATCTGCGTTTCGCATATGTTTATATGACGCGTATACTTGTGGCATCCTACAAGCGCTATCGTTCCATAACCTTCCATTGTAAGTACTTCATTGCCAGATACATACATACATGCATACACACATCACATAGCCACCTTCTTCTCTCGGTACGCGCAGCTGCTTGTTGGTGAGACAGAAAGAAAGGGGCGAGTGCACTAGGGTGAAAAAGTACCGAAGAGCATGAAAAGAGAATCACTAAATTTGCTTATACTCTATTAGGCTTCACCTATCATGAATTCAAAAATGTTTCGCCAATAGAAGGTTTACGATATGCCTCTTTTATCTTTACATTTGTTATTTGTACTAGTATGTGTACACAAGTGTGTTTTGAAAGCGATCATTTTGTTATTAAACCATGTTTTCTTTTCGTGTCGTATCGATGTCCAACAACGAAAGCAACGATCACTATCCCAGTGAAACTTCTTGGAATCCTTCATCCATCACCGAAGTAGGTATCGAGATAAGAAAACGAAAGTACTTATGTATATAAGTCCCATGAAAGTCAGCGGCAAATCAGGCGTCACTAGTTTACATTTGATTAAGCCATTAAGGGCAGTGAAATAATGCGTACAAAATATGTAAACGAAAAATTATTCCACGTAAACTCACAATACGCACCGAATTTGAAGATCTGAAAATCCGAAAATCTGAAGATCTCAAAATTTAAAAGTTCGAAAGCTTGAAAATTTGAAAATCTGAAAATAAAATGTTACCTTAGCGCAATATTAATCCTTATTGAGACAAAAAATCTCACAATTCCTTCTCGTCTCGATTAAGCGTCTATTTAACAACCAATAAAATCTTGAATATAACCAATAGAAATTCCTCTTTTTATCCCTTCCAGTTGTTTCCTGGCCTTAAAAGACCGATACCATAGAACACGCATGCGCATATTTACTCAGGCAAGCACGTGGCAACCGTGCTACTACAGGAAACGCGCGTTTTCATCTTCGCAGCTGTTTTCACGTCGGTGAGAGAAATTCGTATAAAACGCAATCGATGCACTCTGTAATTGAGCTTTTAATTGGCGGAGGCTAGCAATGCAATCTTCGCTGCCCGAATACGATGACTTTCTGCAGGTGCACATATGTTTACGTTCCCGGCTGTAGACAAGTCGGGAATACGTTATGAAGCGTTCACTCACGAGGGAATGCTAGGAACTGAAAGGGGAGTGCCGCCGTTCAGGTGGAATGTCTTCTGCATACAGGACGTGTCGCTTAAAAAAAGTGAACACTGCAAAATTCGTGAAACTATGCAAACAAATACTTGCCGGTGATTTGTCGCTCGACTTGCACGTGACAGGGTTGATTGAGCAACCATATTGACTTTTATATACCTTCTTTTAACAGAGCTTTTAAAATTTAAAGCCTCGTCATTCAAATTTATAGACAGGATTTTGGAGGTTAGACGCCATTTCTGTCAAGATTATAGTATTGTAAATTGTAA